GACGCCAACTTCGAAGTGAGAGTTTTCATTTCTCTCGACCAAGTCACCACTTGGCCTCCCCTCCTCTTCCAACCTCACCCACAACACGCAAATAATGCACGTCGCGGGAGTCGGTGTGCTGGCATGCGCAACACGTGGCCCAGCCATCGGAGCCTGGTGCGTGATATAATCGTGCTGAGCGGTTCACTCGCTCTTCCTGCACCAAATACGCGACATCGAACACACTCATTGCTCACGCGGTGTTCCCACCAGACATGAGCTAAGCTGCAAACGCAGCGATGATCGAATATGACGAGCTTCTTTATGTCTGTCGACCTGATGGGCCAGGTTTCACAGCCATATAGGAGAGTTGAACGGACGGCAGCGTTGTAAACTCTGACCTTCAGCGTGAGAGTAATGCCGTATCTACGCCACAAGTGGCAGAGATTGGCAAAAGCAACTCGAGCTTTTGCTATACGGTTCGTAACCTCATCTTCAATCCCACGGGTGCTAATATAGCAGCCCAGGCACTTGAATTTCTGAACGACTTCTAGCAGATCACCACCAAGCGTTAGCGCAGGGTTGGGTCCCTGCCAATCTTGGAGAAGTACTTCGCATTTCGATGGAGCAAAGCATAGCCCAAAACGATTGACAGCCAGTGCTCTTTGGCATGTTTGGGAGCTGTCACAGATTAGGGCAATATCGTCCGCATACTCCAAGTCAAGAAGTCGCTCAGCAGGAAGTAGCTCCACACCTTCTAGGTCGTGTCCAGCGAACGCTGTTTCTATGCTTTCATCAATAGCGAAGTTGAAGAGGAAAGGTGACAGCGGACATTCTTGTCTCATACCGCTGGTGATACTGAAGGTTGGCGACAGTTTGCCATAAACCCTCACCCTGCCCGAGCTATGCGCGTACAGCGCTTTGATAATGTTTACATGTTTATCAGGCACACCTTTCCTCAGCAGACAGTCCTAAAGGGCACATCGATCGACTGAGTCGAAGGCACCTTTTATGTCAAGAAACACGACAACGGTGGGTCGCCAATAAACATGGCGGTGCTCCAACACTTGACGCAAGGTGAAGATGGGGTCGATGCAGCCCCGACCTCGACGAAATCCGGATTGCTCTTCATGAATCTGGCTTTCACGAGTGCCAGTCAGTCAGAATGACAGAGGCAAGCAATTTAGAGGCAATCGAAATCAGACTGATCCCTCTATGATTGCCGCATTCCAAACGGGAGCCTCCCTTGAAAATTGGGACAATGACGGAGCAGTTCCAGTCTGTCGGGAGTCTCCTGCTCCCAAAGATTAACTAGCAACTCGTGTAAACCATCTACTAGAGCAGGTCCCCCGAATTTGAAGAGGGCTGGGGTAATTCTATCTGCCCCTGCGGCCATATGCAATTTCAACAGCCTGATCTCACGTTCGACTTCTGCGCGTGAGGGCGGATCCAAGGGGACGGCCCAGGGAGAAGGGCGTTCAATGCCTGAAGAAGGAAGCGATAACTCAGGTTGGTTAAATTGCATAGCAAAGTGTTCAGCCCAACGCTCCAAGCGTTTTGACAGGCTGTGGATCAGCTGCCCACTCTCGTCGCGTATGGTCTCGCTAACACCAAATTTCCTACGGCCTGTTTCCCGTACCAGGCCGAATAACTTACGATGATTACCAACGGCAGCGGATGTTTCCATCTCAGAGGCACGATGAGACCACCAGGTTTCGCGGCCCTTCTTTAGGCTAGCACGTTGTTTTGACCTGAGATTTTTGCGAGCCTCATTGTATTCGCTTCCAGCCGGAATACGTTGGCGAACATCCATAAGTTTCAGAGACTGTGTAGAGACCCAATGTCCGGTTTGGCAATTCGCTTTGCCACATGAAGACATGCCTGCTAACAGCAACGCTTGACGGATATGCGACCAGTGATCTTCAACGGTGTTTAGTGGGCGCTTACTCAGCCCAGATGTCAGCGCACTTTGGTACACATTCAGAACATCTGGCTTCGCCAGCTGGCTGGTGTCAATCCGTTCACATCGACGTTGCGGACGTCCACCGAAACGCACCAGGAGGTCGGCACATACAAGTGCGTGGTCAGAGTCCACGCTCGTGCTCCAAATCGAGCGACAGTTTTGGACACAGCCTCTCCAGCGGTAACTGATCGCGAGATGATCGATTTGTGTCCATGGCTGGCCAGAGGCTGGTGGCCGCCAAGTCACGCTTCTGCGAGGGATGTCGAAAGTTAGTGATCACGAGAAAGAGGCGAGCATCTTCACACAGCTGTAGCAATCGCTCACCATTATCATTACGGGAGCCTACAACATGTTGGCCGCCCAGATGAAGCTCATCAGAGGATAATTTTCCGACTTGGGCGCTTAGATCGCCAGCCAGCACCACAGTATACGTGCTTCTTCTGTAACGAAGGAGCTCGTGAAGTTGCTGATAGAAATCATCTTTTACCGAATCAGTACTACAGTTTGTAGGGGCGTAGGTCGCAATGATAAACAAGCACCGTTTGTCCCTGCGCGACTTCATAGCACGGAACCAACCAGCTAATCTAACGGCGCACATCCTACTATTTATTGGAATCAAATCAGTCAGGGAAGCTTCAGCCCGGGGACTCAAAACATTGCCGACGCCAGCTTCACCGGCATTTGAAGCTGCGTTATTGCCAGACAGGCGCAATGAGAATGTGCCGCCAGTGTCGCATGTGGGGGATCTCAGGGTAAGCACGGAGCTCGAACCTTGCAGGTGGGTTTCTGATAAACAGCAAATATCGATCGATAAGGTCTCTAGTGTGCGGGCAAGTGCTGTCTGATGGCCAATCTGCAGCAAAGTGCGCACGGTGAGGCATGCCAATCTTAGCGAGACACGAGAACTCCAAAGGGAAACGGATGAACTGACACTGTCCGCTTGGTTGAACATGGATTTGTCGACTGAATTGGAGCGAAGCCCTGCGAATGTGTGATTTGAAATTAGGAGACAAGCGACTATTGAAGTAAGCTGAGGGAGGGCCAAGAAATGGGGGATTGAAAACGGGGGGATATAAGTAACGTTGGAGCGGGGCGATAAGGATGAAGCGCAAGAAGGGGTATAAGAAGACGGGAAGGCCTGAGCAGTGGCATCCATACCTCTATCTACCCTGCTCGATGCAGCAGATAGGGCACCGTTTATTATTCTCTGCGACGGCCAGAGCATCAAGAAATTGTTGTAGGAAAGGTTCATTGTATTGCGTGGGAGAATACTGTCAGGTTGCCCAGGCCTAGACAGGAGAACGATTAGGGTTCTCAAGCAGAGTCTTTGGTTCAAAAATCTTACCGCAAGGCAGCGGGTTTTGGCATTGGACTATAGAGTCCGTTTTATGAAATGAGGAGCCACCCCCATTCCAACCCCCAACATGGAGGACCAGGAGGCTGAGTTTGTCTGGCCTCTAACCATTGATCAACCTGATATGAGTGGCTTTGAAGGTGCAAAAAAGCACCACCCAGCATAGCTCAATGGATCTCTGAGGCACGCAAACCATCGCACACAGTGTCTGACCTCGATAAACCCGACTCTGCAACGGGTCCTCGATAAACGTTGGGACTGGACTGCTCTGCGGCAGTTGCCCATAAGTTATGCAGTGTTCCATCTTACGATTAAGGCCAAATGGCCCCCAAACGCGTTATTTGCTTGGCAATAATGAACTACACTATGTTTCCCAATTGGTAGACCTAGGGGTCACGTTGTCTTCAGAACTTAAATTCAGTGAGAACTGGAGGAAAGACACGTGCAAGGGTTTTAGAATGTTGTGGATGATCCGCACGGCATTCGGGACCATCACGGGTGCTATGTTTGTTAGGTTATTCTCAGCATTTGTAAGGCCACACTTGGAATACTGCATCCAGGCTTGTCTAACTTGCTTAGTCAGGGACAGGATGTCCGTGGAGAGTGTTGAGAGCTGGAACCAAACTGATTCATGGACTACGAAACCATTTTTACCCAGAAAGACTACTTGCACTGGGAATGTTCTCAATACAGTATCGTCACCATCGAGGCGACCTAGTCTTGACCTATCGGACCCGATTTATCTAGGTTTATCCAACCGGCTCGGCTTCCATCGCTCCGAGGTCACTCGATGAAGCTACACAAACCTAGATCGGATTGAGTCCGGACGGACTTTCGTTTATCACGCCGTGGTGGATTCCTGGAATGCACTGCCCGAGAACGTGGTATTGGCACCAACGGTGAAAGAGTTCGAACACCGACTCGACGCGCTTGGCTTTCAATTCTTAACATTCCGCTTCACGTCCTAGCTTAATCTCCTTATTTATTAAACCAATTACTTTTTTTCATGACGCTCTTATTACTTTCGTACTTATGTTTCTTATTTCACGTAACCGGTGCGGCGGGGACGGCCAATGCAGGTCGCGTGGGTAGTAATTGGCTAACCGTGGTGATTCGAGCGCGCTGATCTGACTCTTCTGGATTCCAGTTATCGCGGACGAATAATATTCTGAATCGACGACGCACAACAGAGATATATCCTACTGTTTCAGTCCCATTTGAACTTAAACTCGACCGGTCTCCAGTTTCCGTCTGACGTCAGAGTGAATTCGACAGGCGGGATACAAGTGCCTTAAACCTCAGATGCTGCTAGTTATATGTGAAAACTTGACTAGTAATGCTCATCACCTTGCTTTATACCAACGTTATAACAACCGCTGCACATGCTTTATGTCTCGAGAAGACCATATGCTGTTAAAGGGTCGCAAAGACGCGGCAAAACAGTAAGTAATTGAAATCGATGAAAAACAGGAAGTGTCAAAACAGTAGCTATTTCTGGTCGAAACTTATTTCTTTTTGCCGTTTTCCGACAGACATCGGGTTCGAATCGGACGGAAACCCGACACTAGACGGATCTTGGTGCTATCGGGGTAAATTAAATCGGAAGGAAGAGGAAGTGTGCACTACATTACACTGAAAACTGGCATGCTGGTTTTGAATTAGGGCTGAAATCATGCATATAAGACGGCTCCGTGAGAAACGTACTTCTCTCGTCGTGACCGTCCTCGCTGAGAAAATCCCCCTGAGAGAGTTCATCGAAGCTGGTATCTGGAATACTAGGAGTGTCATGCCAAGACAGAGAATATACTTCTGAACTGGAAATTGAGAATTTTGCAGTTCGGGCGTTGTTTCTAAAATAATTTTTAATATTTGCCGGTGTCTGTTTTCTGGTCAAAGACAGTTGCAAGTGTGAGAAAACTATACCTGTTATATGGGGATCGTCAAAGTTGTGGAGGTCAAAGGTGCTAAGAGAGTGAGTTCGGTAAACTGCTGAAGGCGATGATGGACCGCCGCTCAAGGTGTGTTCCAGTGTTTCAGTAGGCACAATGGAGGAAGTGATTTCATTTGCCTGGTTAACAGGTTTGTTGTCAGTGATGGTCCCAGATGAGTCGCACTTGCTGCATTCCATACCATATCGGACTCGATCGACGTATGCAGCAAAGTACTGTAGAAGAGATACATAACGGCTATAAAGATTTTGATATTCCTTCGACATATCGCATTCTTTTTCCTCAAATCTAGACACTAATAATCCGTTAATTAGAACTTGAGGGTAAACTACATCGCTCGGTTAAACATTTCAGTTTGGACTCCAGTTGGCGAGAGTTTCCTATGAACTCATTTTCCTTGGCAGCTCTCATTTTACGCTCCTCTTCCAATTCGTCCTCAATATGCAGAAGCCTCTGCATTTACCTTTCGAATGATATAACGGGTGATACTTACAGACTCCACCGATTTACGCGCAGAGCGTTCTTTCTCGTATTCAACAAGAAGATGACTTTGGTCCTCCCGAAGGACAGCCATATCTAGCTGCAAATTTTTCTTTTCAGTGTCAAGGAGGTCAACAGTTTCCAAAGCGGAAATGATTAAAGGCATAAGATTGTGAAGAAATTTGTTGCCGTAAGAAGCGACTAAATGCTCCAGCTCTTTGTAAATGTCGCTAGCCAGTGACTGAACTCTAGTAGACATAATCGAAGGAGGTATTCCATGGTGAGACAAAGTGCTGGAACGCATTACATTATTCATATGGTGTGTGAACTCTTGAGCCTCTGGAACCCGCCGGAAGTCCATGAAGAGGGCGGCATCTGTCAGTGAATTTGTGTACAACTTTCAAGGGCGACAGTTGCCACTGAAGGTCACGGGTTTCACGGGTTTGCGCAGAACGAGTAAGCGTAGCTTTTCGGTGGTTCTGCCTCGGGATCTTACGGCAAGATCCTGATCTCGTCGGTATGTACCAGATGTTGTGGGTCTCGACGCAGTAGTGGTGTTCAGCACAAGAATTCAGCGAGTTGACTGTGGGAACGTGGATACCTGGAACAAGAGAGTATCATTGTATCATTGTATCATTGTATGGTAGAGAGCAGAAGGAGAGTCCTTTATCAGCTCCGTCGCTTCCCAGTCATTGCGAACATTGCTGGGGTCATAGTGAAAATAGGGTTCCACAATGAACCATTAAAGCTAGGTTGTGAAGCAATATCCGGGCACAGTTATCAAGTGGGAATCCAACAATTTCTTGAAACTTTCTTCGGACTGCGCATCAACGACGAGCTCCGGCAAGCGATTCCAGTCATTAACCACGCGCGTGGATAGAGCTGGATTCGACCGCACATGGAGTCTCCTCGGTTTGAACAATTTCCATCCGTGACCACGTGTGGAACTTTCAGTGTTCAGATGAAGGAACTGCTGCAATTCGCTTCCAAGTTCTCCTCTTAGGATACGTCGAGTGTAGATCAAGTCGCCGCGACGACGACGGTAATCCAGAGAGAAAAGACGTAATCGCTGTGGTGTAGGTAAATTCGGCAAAGTTGGATAGAAGCAAAATGATAGAAGCGCCGCGTGTTAGCTTGGCAAATGGCCATATCTTAGCAACGTGGAAGACCAGCGAGGTAAGAGCCAAGCGTCTAGGCGCTGTTTGAAGGCCTCCGTATTGGGCGCTGAGACAACAGCTTCGGGGAGGGCGTTCCAAGCGAAGGCAGTACGCACACTGAAACTGTTTCTTCGGCACAGAAGGCGACTGCTACGAGTCATCAGGATCATAGGATCATAGGATAACCCCGTGAATGTTCCTTTATTGCGTAACGTTGGATCGGGAATTGACAGGTCTGCTTGAGATGTTGTAAAGCCTAAAACAAAGACCGCATCACACCCTGTCCAACCAATTACTGCCCACATTTTCCTGCCCAGCAGTCCTGCCGGGCCGGTTTATGCGAAGTAAAAGAGTGAAGGGTAAGCTAAGAAAAGAAGTGGAGGTATGTCAGCTAAATAAGGATAATACCAACAGCTCAGGGAGTCGTGGCATAGCTGCTACGTTTGTTCAAGTGGGACTGGAACGTTAGGATGTACTCTGTAAGTGTTCTTGAGCGGGTCGTCAATCCAGTAGCTGATAGGGGGGTTCGACTGCTTGACGGGACTAAAACGAAAATACCCGATAAACACCCTGGTCCAGAAATTTAATACCCACGAGCCATACGTTAGATGTGCCTGCTATGTTTGTTACGTGAACTAAGTAAAAGACGCAGAGAAATTATAAAGTTTAAGTGACATCAGTCAAAAGAAGAGGATAATAGCAATGGTGTGGGAAAGTAAGAAAAGAGAATCGCAGTATGAAGACGGGAATTAGTCAGGAAAAGGGAAATGTTGCATATTGCCACCCAATGGCATCTAGTTGACGCTCAAACCCCTTAACCCTTGTAACGCTCCAAGGCGTTTGGAAAGTTAAGCTACGCGTTCCCCACCAGGAAAATTCAACAAAAGACCAGATCCGGACCTGAGAAAACGGTGCTATTTGTACAAATTCATTGTAAAAAAGTAGAAATTACCTTAACGGTTTTCCAAACACAAAAGTTTACCAACAGATTTCAATCAGTTCCACAAAAGGTCCGTAAGCCAAGGTGCACACAAAACAAATGGACATAGAGGTGAGGCCGAAGTTATGACAAGGCAATTGAGCCAATCGTAAGCGTCCGCCAACGGGAACGGGCTGAGGACAGACAGACCAGCCACACTGGATACATGAGTTGTGGGAACACAAAATCGCTTATGTCAAGAGAACAATGACAGGTCCATGGGGGCGGGGTGAAGTTAAGATGAGTCACCGGAGTCACTCGCTAAGAGCATCGGGGCAGAGAACAAAGGAATGGAAAGTAAGGGAGTTAGCAAACATAATCGATCCAGATGGCCGAGCAACGTAGAACTGGGCTTTCAACATGGGAGAGACTGGGGTGGTCAAAGTTCTTTACTACAACCCTAGCTTCCTTGACAATATTTTCTGGTAGCCACTTCCAGCGCTGCATGACTCGACGTGATAACCGTGTCTCTGCTCTAACTAGATCGGGCCGTGGTTTGTCAAGCTTCATACAATGCCCGCGGAGACAGGATAATCTAGCAGGAATAAATAGCCATGACAAGTCAGGGCCAACCTTCCCAGTCAAACTACTGAAGGTTAGGATTAGGTCCCCACTACTCCTTCAATAGTGGGCCCTTAACCAAAATATTCCCGTGTATGTTCTTCCGTAAAAGCTTTGTAGATCCATGTTTTGTTTAACACTAATCTCCGCAATTATGGAAAAAGCTACACTCGGAACTCACACTATGGTGAATCATGTGACCTGTTTTTTCATCAAGTTCATAGGAGTGTGGAGAGCAAAAGGGACAAATTGCGTTAGCTACATCGCCTCCAATTCATTAGCTGGATGATGCGTTTCGTTGCTAAACTGTGTTCCCTGGGAGATTGTTACGGCAAAACTAGCGGAATCCAGATTCGCCCAGAATGTATTTGTCCAAACGTGCCATAAAACATTCCACTTTATGACCAATTACCATTTATCTAAGGAGCTGTTCCACTCATTCACAACAGTTTATAGAACACGTCATTGGACCGGACGTGGTGCCTCTGAGCTGTAACAATTTTCCGACGGTGCCGTCGTATCGAACATCTTGAATTTAGTTGGAAACTCTGCTGCACCTTCTTCCATGCGTCTTAAACTGCGTTTGATATAAAACAGGATCCCACGAAAAGGACGGCAGTCTAGTGAAAACGATTTGCTAAGTCGGAGACGATGGCGATAAGGTTTAACAAGTGGCATGGACACAGGTATATGATTCCACGGCTCTGAACATTCTTGCTCAACGCGTATTCAAACTTCACCCGCGGGTATATTGTTGGTAGCCCGTCTCCTAGTATTGGACGAAAGTGGAGAAAACAGGTGGCTAATCTTTTACGGTGTCAGTTCCTATAAAGGAGGTCGTATGGCGCAAATAATCCTGTTTGCAGCGGCCACCACTGTAACGTGCCATGGATTGTTCTTAGGTCTGGAGAAACAATTACATCCAACTGCTTATAACGAGCCTCAGCCTTTAGCTGAAAACCACCAACGTGTTTAGCATTGAATGGTTCTTGCGCACCGATCGGGAGAAAACAGCGTTTCATGAGTGATAGGCAAGTACCGCGCGACAGACCCATCGTGCAGCAGATTGAGGAGAATTGCAAGTTGTCATCACCTTTAAAACTGGATTCTACCGACCACAGTATAACATCATTCACTTGGACTGATCCGTCGACTTGAAACAGCTCCGGAAGTTCGTTGATGATAACTTTGATTAGTTCGGCTGGCTACCCGAACAACCTCCTCGTTGTGCCAGCTGGGAGGTTCGGGTAAATCCCGTTCCAGCAAATGGTTCGGCGGCAGTGTTCCAGGATGTGGTGGGATTTCGACTGTCAAGCGTTCTCCCTACAAACTACCACAAGTATCCGCTTAACAACACAGTAACGCGGCGGATGTGTCTCCCACTAAATGAAGTCACTGCCTCCTTCCTTTTCCGGAGGATCATACGCACATCACGAACGTCATCCGATTCAAAGCATTCCATTGAATCCCACCTTTGTAGATGAACATCACGAACAACAGCAAACACATTGCCACATTCATTTACGCACACAACATGTCCCCTTCCAAATGCACAGTCAAACCCAGTTTACGTCTCAACACATACATAAGTTCCTATTCTATTGGTCAAAATGTACTAATTTGTGAAATTGCTGATCCTACCTGTCTGTAATAACCTGATCACACCATTGACGGTGTGCCTCCCAGTGATGAGAGTAACTATTTGTTTATTTATTTATTTAACTACGGGGCCCTGTGGAACCCCGCTTGTCAAGAAAACAGGACCAGATGCAACTTCGTTAACCTTCCCCATCGTAATATGGTCATCTGGTAAATCAGCAATCAAGGCGAGCAAAGTAACTATAAGGTTAAACTGCCAGAGACTGTTAAGGAATCGATTGTGTGGAACACCAGCATACGCTTAGTGAACTCGACAAGGAAAACATCATGGCGAGGGCCGGCATCCACTGAGGTCACCCACTTTACTCGGGCAACAAGCAGATCGGAACTGCTGGAGCGACTCTTTTCGAAACCCGTGCTAAGCAGGAGAGCGGATGTCCACTTGCACAAGGTGATGATTGAAGGCCTGTTTTAATATCCTTTCCATGGTTTTACATAGGATTTATGACATGCAAGTCGGTCGTTAGTTCACTGGACCTTGACTATTCACACCAACATCTTGAGAAACAAGTGACCTAGGCCATCGGAAACCGGCGAAACTTCGGGTTCAAGTCGTTCAATAGTTCCAGTATTCCGTCAATGATAATTTTGAGGTGCTCTGAAGGAGAGTGTTAACAGGGCACATCCTCCTTAACAAAAGCCGCTTCCGTTGTTTACACAGTGGAATATTGCGAAGCTAGCAGCTAAGCTATCTCCAAGTCACCATGAAGCTTGGTATAATTTCGCTTGAATGCAGCGCAGGTGTACCGTTGCAGTGGCATTCTCTGCCACACCGGGAACATGACTTATGGGTAAAATATGGAGTAACAATAAGTAGAAATAAGCGGATTTAAAGGAGTAATAACAAGGAAAATAATTTAGTGCGTTTCATGGTGTAAAAGGAAAGAACTGGAACTGCGGCCTGAGGACATCGAGTACGCATCTGCCTGCAGCTTTCACTGTTTTTCCAGGTACAATATATAAAATAGAATAAAAACACAGTTTTTTGTATTTAGGCACCTTCGG